TGTGTGTATATATATATGTATGTGTATATGTACCTTACAGTCAGTGTCTGCCAGTATTTAAGGTTTTAGTGTTGGTATCGAAATAGGAAAAGGCGTATCGTGTCTTCTCGGAACTCTTTTCCTCACTGCAGTATTATCTCCAGTCTTCCGAACATTGCACATACTTGATTTGAGACTTTTCAGGTACACTGAAGTGGGACATACTGACATTAGTCCTAAATAGCACCCTACAATCATTTCGCTCTGAACGTTCATTGGCTCATTACCTCCCAGCGTTTTTCTACTGCTGCATGTGGAACATTTCGCAATTAACCTTTTAAGAGTGACACAAATTCGCATATTTTCCAGAAGGTTGATTTTATCTGCAATTAGAGAAGTGTCCCAGTACTTTTGGGAGGGATTTGCATTGCATTTCATGGGAATATGCTCATTTTCAGAGCATCTACAAGCCTCAGCTTTGTTTAAAAGAGGATTTATGCCTTTGAGAATCAATGAAGCCATCTTCGTAATAGACATAGCTCTTTGGCAATGAGACGTTTATTAGCTGACCTCCTTCTCCTCCCCATGAATCAGCAAAGCCTATAACTTACATTTCCAATTGCTCCCTGAGGCACGACCAATCAGCAACCTTGTTTCTGAGTGGGATTTTGGTGCTTTGAAATTCATCAAGCCTCAGAGCTGTGCTAAAAAGGGGGGCTATTTCTCTATGCTGGGCCGATAAAGTCTCTTTTGTTCATTTATTTATTTATTTATTTAATGCTATAAATTTATGCTGTGTTTACATCGTTTCAACAGAAATAGTGGTGTACAGTGTGCATTGCATTCTAATTTAATATTTCCATTTCAGACATGCTGTTTAATTCATTCACTCTTCACTTTTGTGTACTGTCAACTTCTCTTTAGCACACTTAGGGTCAGTCTCCTAGAATAAAATGAATTTACATTGGTAATTCTACACTGACGCTGAAATTTGTCCATGATTAGGCTTAAGCCATGTCTGGGAAACATCACTTAATATTAGAGTTAATTATACAGCAGTCAGTTCCGGCCACGCAAGCTGATTGGTTGAGAAGCGTTCTAACCGTGCTGTTATTTCACCATAACATCACTTTTTTTCACAAACACTGTCACTCCACTGAGACGCCGTTGCTAAGCAACGACTTTGACAGCTGTAGGAGACGCTCGAGCCATTTGAACGTTTTTACTTCTTACTTTGCCACAAACAGAAACTGGATACTTTTAAGATCACATTTGACCGACAGCCAATTTGGTCAGACTCTGAAGATGAGACGACACTAAATTCCCAAACTGTCATCACCACTGAGCAGCTTTTCAGTCGGCAGCTGTGACAGAAGAACAGCTGAACAACCTGGAATCAGCCAGAAATGAACCCAACACCATTCGCCAAACTAAATGGGCTGTAAGATGCTTTACAGACTGGCTGGAACAAAATAACATTAATATTGATCTGGCAAAAACTGACAAAACTGAGCTAAACTTGATATTGCATCAGTTTTATGGTGATGTTATTTTGCAGTAACACGCTCCCTCTCGTGTTCTGTTGCTTAAATATAGTACATTTAACTTGACACATTTTCACAAGATCGGTAGAATCTGAATCTCCTTATAGACCAAATCAGCGGGTTTGTAGACATAATAGTTTGCTATACTTCTGGGTGGATAACTTGCATCCAGTCAGCATTAAAGCAGCTCAGTTTGCGCCACAATTTACAATAAGTTCAAACATAACAGGCACAACATTGGCAAAAACTGCAAAATCTCGTGTTTAAGACTGTAAAGTCAGTGTACCCAAATTTGTAATGGATTTTACTTACGTGTTCTGTTATCCAGCTTTCAAAAGCAGGTAGTGCTGCTGAGGGATCCCCTGTCTTTAACACTTGTAGCTGAAGCCGACGACAATTTAGTGAATCCTTTACACTTCTAGATGAAGTGTCTGTGCACTATGCACAACCAATTAGTGCACTAGAATAGGACAGTTTGTTGTGTCGATTGTTTTTTATAATATTACTATTTGCAGAGTTTGACATGTCAATTGCTAATACTATTGGTTTTATTTTATTCTACACATGGTTCTATATAAACGTAAACATTTGTGTGGGTGTGTCACATTACAGTGCACCATATTGTTTCATAGCCAGTAAGGTAAGCAGACTGGTAAGGAAGGTAGCTGATAAGATAAATTATATGCTTTAGAGCCCATGTGTTAAACACAAGGGCTGTGGGCCAGATCAGGCCCGAGAAACAATCCTATCTGGCCCGCAAAAGTAATTTAGTTTTCAGTATAAGCAATGGTCAGTTTGGTTTATCGCAAAATGTTAATTAAAAAAGGAAATAAAACAGACGTTTTCTGGCCCACGGATTTGTTGAGATTTTTTATTATGGCCCTTTTAGTGGTCGAGTTTGACACTCCTGCTTTAGGGTGATATAAAATAACCAAAAAGACCACTTATTTATTAACTGTGGTTGTTGTAAATGGTTCCAGCTGTCTCTCAAGCATGTGGAAAGTGAATACTTCTTTATTAGACCCTGCAATAATAATGTATGGCTGGTGCATGTTTGTGATCATATTAATCACAAAAATTAATCACAAAATTCCTCCTTTGTTAAATTAAGTCAGTTCCTGCTGATGAAATTTAACAAATTAAGATTTTTTTTTATTTTTACTCTGTTTATTTGTATTCATATGTATTTATGCTTTGTTTTATGTGTATTTATTTCAATGTTGTATAGTGTTTTACGGTCAAAATTACGGTCAATACTGCTGAGATTAACAATAACATTTTTTAATAGTTTTAAATAATTAAAAGAACAAAAATGATGAACCACAAACAGCCCTGTTTCCAGCTTAAACATTAATGCAGCTATTTAGATTGTTGATTCTGATTATTACTTGGCGTAAGTTCTTGGGGGAAATTTTCCTTCCTGTTGGGTTTTTTTTTTTTTATTTCAGTTATTATACTATCATTAAATTAATAAATGGAGAATGATGGAGCCAATTGACAATGGTGGGGGTGAAACTTTTGAGATTCCTCTTGTCATATGTTGTGATTAGACGACAATTTTTATTATTATTTTTTTTTTACGTAGAACAGAGTGTATCCTCTGTGATTTTACAGTAATTAGACTTGTATTAAGTATATGTCAGCATCAGCCTAAGAGTTCTTATACTGGAGACACTGCTGACACCGTTATTTTTTATATTCTTATGTCCTTTTATTTAATTACGTATTAAGATAATCCCTGAAGATTGAGTTCCAGTGATCAGTTTTATGGAATCCATATGTCTTTCACTGGTTAGTGCTCGTTATCATAACTGATTTCTAAAGAAAATCCACAGATTTTGTTATCTGGATATCTTTTCAGCATCATCTCCGGTGGATGCATTACCAACTTCACCATCATAATCACCTCATTTATAGGTGCATATGCATCTTCCCTGGTCATAACTTTTTTGTTTGAACTTCTGATACATCCAAGGCTGCTCGGTGTGTAAATATCACATATAGATGGAATTAAAATATTGACTGTCCACATCTTGAAGGGCAAGAAGAGGGTTGTTTATGTGGAGGATTTTTTTTTTTTCATTTTCTCAAATAGACCACTGATTATACTACTACTGCTGCTAGTACTTCTAGTACTACTAATAATACCATTTTGTAATATTATATCAGTACTTTCAAGATAGTGACAAATGTCATGTTACTTTGATGTGGTTTTAATTTTCATGGCCATGAGGTGCTTACTTTGCTTAGATGAAACAAAGTATGCAGTATCAGATAGGACATACAAATGCTTTGTAAATACGGCTCCAAGGCTGAATAAGTCTGGTTAATTATTCGGGTCTCGTGAGACTGGCTTTCAGAGCCGGTATTGGCCTATCATATGAAGTGAACATGAGGTAAATGAAGCATTCAAGAAGAAAACTGAATATTGAAGAAAAGTTTTCCTGACAACAGGCAGTAAAGTAACTTATAGCACAGCAGCACTGTACTTTAGGGCCCCGTTCAGCCGGAAAAAAACTCCCCCAATGTTTATCGAGCCCCCTGTTTTGAGGATGGCATCTGCACAGTGTGCGTTTGTGTGAGAGAAAGAGAGAAAAGCGTGGGCACTTGGGTATTGAGTTGTTTTGAGAACGGATGCATGGCTCATGAATATTCTGTTTGAATATTCAACTCCCCAGACAAAACTCCCTCAGCGAATCAAGGTGCACGTAAGGTGCAGACAAGTTCCATCACAATTTGTTCACTTCTGAAGAGAAACAAACAAAAGTATGCTGAGCGAAAATATGTTTGATTGTTTTGGTTGAGAAGCTGGAATAATTATTCTGTTTAAAGCAAGCTGCCGTCTTGCCACGCGCTCACGTGGACCTCAAAGCAATCATCTGTAAGTGGTTTGACAGTTCTGTGTGTTTATTTGACAAAATACCACTGTTTTTCGGTGATAAGTTCATTTGATGATCATTACAAGATGATCATAACTCCAGAACTCGTCCAGCTGTTTTGACATTGACGTTGTCTGTGTCCGAATAGTTGAATGAGACTTTGTCTGGTTTTCTTGGTTTTTTGCCTGATCTGGTAGCCTTGTGGATCCTCATAGTAGTCAGTTCTATTAATGTATTTAGTGAAGCCATGAGATGGAAATCAGTCAAAATCAAGGATGCAGCCATTACATTTTTTTTTAGATGTTCTCCTCACAACTATTTTGTCACATTTGTCAGATTCGGTAGCCAAAGATGTTACTCAAGCAATTAAAGCCGCAGTTGCAAGATTATATTTGCATATTATAGGTTTGAATATTAGTTATTGGCACAACAATAAGTAGTCAGAAGTGACAGTCAACATCTCTGGGCGATTAAGAAAAAAATAAGGGTAAGGTTCTCTGAACAAAACCAAATGAGAATCCTGAATTAAAGTAAAAGCCAGGATGTGGTTGACCTGTGTTTCTGTCTCTGTCTCTCTCTCACTCTCTCTCTGTACCAGATTTGGAGGATTTTAAAACCCAGAGAAGAAGTCCAGTTAGGGTTCGTGAAGGCCAAGGTGTGGTCCTGCTTTGTGGACCTCCACCACACATGGGAGGTGAGTTATATTCTATCACAATTTACTTTTAGGATAGTTTCTTTTAATGTTTCTTTGCAGCTATATCCCATTGCTGGAAAAAGCATAGCTTGAATTCAGAGATGGTGTTTTTTTATTTTTTAGTCCTATGGTGTTAACTTTTGCCTTTTCCATGCTTCAGTGCCTTTTGTTGCCACTAATGCGAGGGTGGATTAGATTAGAGTTTCACTACATAGGCTACGTTCACATTACCAGGTTGAAGTGGCCCAAATCTGATTTTTTGCGATAATGTGACTCAGATCTGATGTTTTCAGAGCTGTGTGGACGCACAAATCTGATCTTTTCAAATCCGACCTGAGCCACTTTCATATGTGGTCCTAGATCGGATACGTATCCAATTTGTGGCCATGCGACCTTAATGTGTCACTCAGATCCCCCCCACTGCATTCAGTGTTACCATGGCAGCAGCGCCGAACAGAAGTTAAAGCCTGTAAACGGTGGAAAAGCAGCTCATCTCACCTTTTTCTCCTTCGTCTCGCTCTAATAATGAAGCTGAGAGCTGATCAGAGTAAATTATCTTCACAGCGAAGCTCGTTCTGCTCGTTAGTTTGTGCTGATGATGAACGTGATTCATTCACGTGACGTTACTGAGTAGGATGAGCTCATGAGGGTCATTTCAGGAATTGTTCACATTAACGACAGATTTGAATCATTTACCTAAACGAGTGTAAACCATCGTGTTGGAGAGATCGGATTTGAGCAAAAAATTGGATTTGAGCAACGTAATGTGAACGTAGCCATAATGTTCAGTTTCCAGATTAAAAAGCTGTACTGTTGTTGTCTCTAAGTGAAACTACTCAGGTTGCAAGCAACAACAAATTTGCCACCATGCTAATGTTAGCTTGAAAAGAAACCCTTTATATGTCAAACAAACACAATGGAACTTAAAGAACCAAGGGCTTCACCACAAACACTAAGAGCAGTACATATTACACGGATCTTTCGTGTAACACTTCTTACATTCTATCAGTAGTGCTGTTAATTGTTTGGTTCATGTGCATCAGAGGGGTGGTTTTGTTTTTACCGCTCTCAGATGACCCATGCAGCACCCTGTTGCCTCACTTCTATGCAAGGCCAAATAGCCTGGCTGGCATAATGGCTCATCACTGTCCCTTTTGAAGTCTAGGTGAACTAAACGAGTTTGGAACATCAAAATTGTCCTGATTATTAATCAAACCTGCAACCTCAAAGGAGTGGCAGAAATTATTAGTCAAAGCTAACTACCTTTCTCTTTTGTGGGTCAGTCCAAATCACATATCTTAGAAAAAAGTCTGTCAAGGTCAGCCCTGTGAAAGTCAGGAATTTGTGTTCACAGATTCACTCTAATTCAACTAACCCAGGGGTCTTTAATTAAAATTCATAAGGTCCAGTTACAGAATATTTCTTCAAGCAAAGATCTGGAACATCATAATGTCTAACTTGCATTATGATTCAGTGCCATATACTGTAGACTAAAGTAGCCTAGTAGGTATATCAACATCTTATACAGTCAACAACTGAATGTCAAATCAAATAAAGTACAATTCAGTGATATTTCAACAATATTTATCAGTTTTCTCTTTTTAGATCACGTCATGTGGAATAACTTCCCTCTGACTCACTTTCTTCTCCGATTGCTGTTTCTCGCCTCGTCCCTCCCCTGTGCATGCATCACTCACTCGAGTCTCGGTGCTCATCGTAATGCACAGATCTGATTGGCTGAGTAGCGTCACGTGTGATATTCACAATGCATGTGATTGGTCTGTGAGTCTCCCAGGCCACTAAACGGTACCGTAATAACTAGAAAAGCTACGCCGATTAAAGTAGTACCACCCTGTCGAAATTAAATAATTCTCCATAGTTTATCGGTTATAGGTTCAGGTCCGCATAGGACAGCATCTGTGTCTGGACCGCAGTCCGCCCATTAATGACCTCTGAACTAACCCCTCACAATATTTGGAAGGGCTTGCAATTTTGTATATAATCAGTAATCCCAATTACACAACAAAACCATGCCTGATCTTTCCAAGGACTGTGACCTGTCATTAGCATGCAATTAATTGCACACTATAAAGCACACTATTAATTTCTGTACTTTGACAAAAACTGAAAAATGTGCTCCAGTTTTGAATTTATCTGTCAAACACAATGTACCTTAAAGAACCAGAAGGCTTCACCACAAATGCTTAATATTATGGCACTAAGAACAGTAAATATTACACAGATTTTATGTGAAATGCTTTTTACATTGTATCAGTAGTACTGTTACTTTTTTTGGTTCATGTGCATCAAAGGAGTGTTTTTTTGCTCCCACTCTGACCCTTGCAGCCCCCTGTTGCTTCACATCTATGCATGGCGAAATAGCCTTGCTGACATAATGGTTCCCTGATGGGGCAATTGAATTACTTTTACGTGTTTGTCAGTCACTGCTCTCAACCAGCAATTACAGTCCACCTCTACTTGCTCATAGGCTTTAAATGTCTTTTCAGCCTCACTACCAGCACAGTAAACACAAATTTCCTTATTCTTTTCCAGCTCTAGATTTAACGCACCTAGTGGCAAGCTAAATTGCTCTGATGTTAAATGTCACGCCAAGCAAACTTTTCACTTACTCTTGCCTTTCTATAGGTGGTTGTAGTGTTGTTGTAAAAAGCACAGTCTGTGGTAATGCTTAGCGTGAGTTAATAGCATTTACTTGAATATTTCCTTTCAAGGTCTTGACAGTTACATCTAAACATAAATCTGATAAAAGCTTCTTTCTGCGTTATGCCAACACCACCTCATGGTGACCAAATTGCATTTCCACTAAACAGATGAATATGTAATTGACTTACGTCAAGCTGTCACCATAAAGAGTGAACTCTGCGGCTCTGAAGTGGCGCAACCATTTATGCGTCTGTGCTCCCACTGGGAGGTCGTGAGCTCAATAACTGGCAAGTGCAAGACAGTAAAATTGGCCTCGCTCTGTCTGAGTTGGTACGGTGGTCCTCCCTCTCCCCCAGTCACTTAGCACAATGCTAGCCAACACTGGCGTCTGTAAGCTAACTCAACAGAATTTGCAGTTAGGCTACGTTCACATTACCAGATGTGGACAAACAAATCTGATCTTCTCAAATCCAACCTGAGCCACTTTTATATGTGGTCCTAGATCGGATACGTATCCGATTCGTGATTATGCGACCTTAATGTGACACTCAGATCAGCTTTTTTTTCCACTGCGCGTGCGCCATCATTCCATCAAAGCCTGTAAACGGTGGAAAAGCAGCTCATCTCACCTTTTTCTCCTTCGTCTCGCTCTAATAATGAAGCTGAGAGCTGATCAGAGTTAATTATCTTCTCAGCGAAGCTCGTTCTGCTCGTTAGTTTGTGCTGATGATGCTCGTGATTCATTCACGTGACGTTACTGAGTAGGATGTGCGCATGCGGGTCATTTCAGGACGCCGGTTCGTTCACATTGACAGATTTGAATCACTTCCGTAAACGAGTGTGAACCATCGAGAGATCGGATTTGGGCACTGAGGCTTGTAATGTGAACGTAGCCTTGGTCTTCAGAGTTTTGAGCTGTCCTGTGATGTTGAACCAGCAGCAGTTCGGAAAGATACAGTAGCTGGCTTCACATGTCTCTGAGAAAAACCTTGCTTGGTAACCTTGAGGAGACCTAGCTGGTGGGTGGGAAGTGGCCATTAGGGATGCGCATGGGTTCTCGTGTACTCAGTTAACTGTTCGAGGTTCCAGTGTTCGAATACTGAAATTACTATTGAGTTTTATCATGGGAAGACAAAAACTGAGAAATGTACAGACCAAAAATGAGTGAAATCCCAATTTTATCTTTTAACAGGACTGTGAAAAGTTTTGCCCTGCGATTCCTGGTGGTTTCCAATAGTCAGTAATAGTATTTTCTGTTTTCCTGATGGGTTGTTATCACAGTGAAAAGGAATTTAATGGTTTAACAGGTGTTCCTACAGGTTTACATGCATTTGGTTTTCTAATGGGATCCAACAATGTCTTACAGGAAACTAGTCATCTCTAATTCTAACCATTCAAATCCAATTCCTATTAAAAAGTAAAACCAAAAGGTTTCAATCCTAATGATTCTAATGGTCTTTTTTCAACAGGGTGCTGAAAAACACCATTAGATATGTTGAAATGCATTGCTACTCTAAAATATAAGTGCCTTAACAAGGATGTGTTGCCAAGGAAATGTTATTAAGGACACGACTGAGAAGCCTAAAATAGTGCAGCTTTTATCACTAAATAGGCGAGGCTGATATTATGTCCAGGAACAGCTACAAGCCCACCTGTAGAAAACAAGGAGTCTCCATCAGGATCCAGTGTTAGCGGTTAGCTGTAGTTTTAGCCCATTAGCTCATCTGAGGCAGTATGCTACTCATCTGAAATAAAAACCTGTTGATTTTCCTTGAGTTTCCTTGAAACCATGTTTTTTTTTTGGTCATTGTTCCGTTCATGAACTCCAAGATTAAAATGAACCAACATGCACATTCCTAGTGGCCATAACTAAATTGGGGAGGAAAAACTCAATAAAAATCCAGCCAAACTCCACAAAAAAGGGGAAAGTATGGCTTAACCATTGTTTGTAGTTTAAAGGAATCTTATGTAAAATTTGATTTGTTCTTTAAGAGCAAGAATTTTGCCATTTCATAGTTCTCTGTCTCTTGAAGTTACTCACTTTTCTGGTACCTTGCCCTTTGGTGGTATTATTTGAAATGGGTTAAACCCTGTTTTAACTCTATTTGTGTTTTTGCTAGGCTAATAGAAACAGAAATGACTTGGAAGTTGGTTAAAACATCAGTTGAGATCCATTAGGGAAAAACAGCTCAAGTTATTTTTGATGAGCTCATCAAAAATAACTTGGCTTGAATACTCTAGGTAGCCTCCCCATCCATTCAGAGCACCATCCTTCACGTTCACCTCCTACCACAACCCACTCAAGCTGAAGAGCACTGTTGTCCACTGTCTATGTC